CTTTTTTTTTTTTTTTTTTTTTTCCTTTTTTTTTTTAAATAAGGACAGTTTGTTTGTTGATTTTTGGTACCTGCAGTTAAACTCAGGTCCTTGCACTTGCAAAGCAGGTGCTAGAACCACTATGCTAAATCCCCAGCCCAATAAGGACATTTTAGATTTTGGTAGAAGCTGGTTTAAGGTAGATCCTTCCTTTACTTCTACACCTTTTACCCTTTACTTTAAACACTCAAATAGTTTTTCAGTTGGGAGTGGTGGCGCACGCCTATAATCCCAGCACTCAGAAGGCTAAAGCAGAAAGATCGCCTAGAGTTCAAGGCCAACGTGGGCTACACAGTGAATTTAAAATACACAGGGTGTTCTTGTCTCAAAGAACAAACAACAACAACAAAACAAATTTTTTCAAGCCTCAGAAGCTGAGTATGGTAATATACATTTATAATCCCAGCTACTGGGGAGGCTGAGTCAGGAGGATCAGAATCACTTGAGTGCAAGCTTTCAGGGCTAGCCTGGGCAATATAGTAAGATCCTGTCTGTCTGTCTGTCTGTCTGTCTGTCTGTCTCTCTCTCTCTCTCTCTCTCTCTCTCTCTAATAAAAAGAAAAATTAGATATAGAGATTGGGTGAAGCCTGCCTCATGGCCCTCCTGTAGAGGGCACACTCGGTTACCTTGTGCCACCTCCCTTGCCGGCCACCTGCCATTGGTTTGTGACCTGATGTGACTTCCGGCCAGTGTTCTGCCTCAGTTTCTCTTGTGGAATGGAGAGATTGCTCTTCCCCCACTGCTGACTCCTTGGGATGGACACAGCCCCAGGGGTGAGCAGAGCAGCAGAACTGGGCCCCTGCAGAGAGGGTGCCTCCTGCGCTTTGCAGTCTCTGCAGTTCCAGGGTCCAGGGCGGTGCGCGGCCCTCAGGATGGAGGGAGGGAGCTCGTGGCGCGCAGGCCGCTCGGAGCCTGACTCGCACTCGCTCCCTCTGTGCCCAAGTCCTGGGGCTGACCCTGGCTCTGCACTGTCACTGGTCTGTGGCTTTGGAGTCCCCTCCCTCGCTGAGCCCCACACAAGATCACCTCAGCCACGGTTGGGCGACAAACTGAAGCCACACGTGAAGACCAGCATTGTGCTTCTGCAACACAGGGAACGTGAAAGCAGAAGTTGTCGTCGTAGCTGCGGCTGCTCCTGTGTCTCGCTGGAATCTGAGGGTGAAGGTGGTGGTTCATAAGCAAATCAAGTCCCCCAGATAGCTCTGGAAGGGAACATGGAAATGGAGCCTGAAGGGCGCTGGGAATTGGGAGTTGGCTGAATTTCTTGAAACGTCTTTGTCTGCGGTTGTTGGATGGCCGTGAGCTAGGGGCTCCCCCCATCACAGACGGCGGCTTCCAAGCCTGTAAAAATAGACATTCATGAGACCTCTTTCCCCATCCCTCGGAGGTCGGCTTTTCTCTCGCACGCACCCGGGTAGCAATTTGTGTAACACCTGTCATGTGTCAAGATGGGTACTTTGGCGCGGCAACTGTGATTTTGTTAATTTGTTTACTAAATGCTTATTGGGCCCCTCCCTGCAGCCGACGGAGGACAGTCTCTGTCACCCCCGTCCAGCTTCAGAGCCCAGAACAGCATGCGGACAACATGAAAGTGTAATGGCTCCGAGTGCAGGTGGAGGGAGACCCAGCTGGGGGCAGGTAAGTAAGGCTTCCCCAGGGAGGCGGTGTCTAGGCCTAAGCTGGCAGTGGTGAACAGGATAGAGGGAAGGAGGCCCGGTGTGGTGGTGCATGCCTGTAATCTCCGCTGTTTGGAGGCTGAGGCAGGAAGGTCTCGAGTTTGAGGCCAGCTCAGGCAACTGAGTGAGATGTTGTCTCAAAAATATAAAAAAGGGCTAGGATGGAGCAAACGGTAGAGAGTTTACCCAGCATGTACAAGGCCCTGTTCAGTCTCTGGTATTGCCACCCCCCACCATACCAAAAGAAAAAGAAAAACGTCTAGGCCTAAGCCCTGGAGGATACAGAGGGTGAACGAAGCAGTGGGTGTTCTAGGTCACGGGCTTGCACGGTGAGAGCGTGGTGTGCTGAGGAACCACGAGCAGACGAGTGTTACTGAGGCAGAGGCAGGGAGGACACTGGCCTGGGCACCAGGACTCAGAAGTGTCCTGAGTCGGTGGGGTGGGGCAGGGGCACGATGTGGCGGATGGGCGCTGGATGGCATGGAGGGGAGGGCCTGGCACGCTGTACTTTGGGCAGAAAGAAGGGCACAAGGCTACGCCCTAGGCGGACGTGGGGGAGTGGGAAGCCATGTCAGTGGGGGTCTCAGACATCAGGTGCGGTGGCACGGGCTGAAGCAGGATCACAAGTTCAAACCCAGCCTGGGCAGCCTGGCAACTCAGCAACCCTGTCTCAAAATGAAAGAGGACTGAGGCCATAGCTCAGTGTGAAGGCCCTGTCTTTAATCCCACGTACCCCAAAGAAAGTCAGGGAGTCCCCCAGCCATGCTCGGGGTCCTGGGCTTTGTGTCAGGAAGGTGAGCTCCGAGAGAAGCGGCAGGATGTGGTGGGAACAGAGAGGCAGGGATGCATGCAGGGGCGACACGGTCCCCGTCAGCCGCTCTGCTGGTGTAGCTGCGAGAGACTGACCGCGCAGAGGCGCGGAGGACTCCATCGTCAGTCATTTCACGAGACTGAGACGTCCGGGCTCACAGTGGCCCTGGGCTGTGGCGGATGAGCAGAGAAGGGCAGTACCCGCGCCAGAGGTGCAGGAGGGGAGGGCAGTGAAGGGACGGGGAGCCAGTTCCCAGGGGCTGCTGCGGGCCAGCACGGAGAGGCTCTGAGCTCCCCAGGCTCTTCCCGCCAGAGCCAGAGCCGGGGTGGAGCCCAGGTCCTGCTACTTCCGGGCCAGCTCGCTCTGACCCCTTCTGGAGCTTTCTGCTTCTGGCATGACAGAGTCTTGACTTAAAACCAGAATTATTTTCTGCTCGGCTGGGCACCACAAATATTTTCATCCCAAATTACTAAAAGTTGCTGCTTTTACTGGTTGCAAGGTTTCAGAAAGAAAAATTTTCCTCTCCTGTAAATTAGAAAAGTGGTTTTTACAAAGCACCCCAGGCTCCCACCATGCTGAGAAAGGGCTTGGGTGTTTCCAGGGGAAACCATGGCCTGGTGTGGGAGGCAAGGGTCCAGTGTCCTCGGCACACAGGTGTGCGGGGGCTTCTTCCCTGGGCCAGATGTCTCATGTGACTCAGGACACAGGCCCTACCCTGCTGGAGCTTCAGTGCCAGTGAGGAGAGAGAAGTAATACTGGGCATAAAGCCATTTCTGAATGGAAATTGCAAGGAAGGCTCTGGAAGAGTAAAGAATGGGGGGATGAGCCAGGCGTGGTAGCACTTGGGAGGCTGAGTCAGGAGGATCGCCATGAGCTTGAGTCCAGCCTGGGCTACATTGTGAGTTCAAAACCAGCCTACACTACATAGCAGGCTGTGGGAAGGAGAGAGGCCAAGCACCTTGGGGCTGTGTATGTCACAATGAGGGTCTTGGCCTTTGAAGGACAAAGGTGCAGACTGGGTGATAGCAGAGGAAGAGGCACGCTGTGGCAGTGAGGAGAGGGTCAGAGACAGGCCCAGGACCCTGGCTGGGGAAGCATGAAAGTAGGAGAATGTCAGTGCCGTCAGGCTATGCCAAGGTCGTAAGTGCTCCTTGGGCTGCTCAGCGTCTGAAGAAGTCTCAGATCCGGGCTTTCCAAGGTACCCGGGCAGTGTGGAGCCCACATTCCTGGATGACCCACTTGGGAGCACCTACCCTCCACACACGTCCACGTCCATGGCCTGGCCTGGCCTGTGGGGACTCCCCCAGCTGCTTACCTAAAAGCTGTTGGGGGGCATGGCAGGCTGAGGAAACATGGCATTCTCTGATCACCTTTGGACCTTGGGGATTCTAGGAAAAAGGGAGATCAGAGCCAGTAACTTCTTTGCCCCCTAGGCTTCCCTGACCTTGTAAACATGACCATGAGAAACTCCTGAGTTTAGCCAGGCACTGTGGTGCACGCCTATGATCCCAGCTTCTCCAAAGGCTGAGGCAGGATGATTGCAAGTTCAAGGCCACCCTGGACAACGTAATGAGACCCTGTCTCAAACCAAAAGCAAAAGGGCTGAGGATGTAGCTCAATGTGAGGCCCTAGGTTCAATCCTCACTACCTTACCCCTCACAGAAAAACAAAATCTGATCTTGCACCAAAGATATTTTCTTATAGTTTTCTTTGAAAAGTGTAAACTATTTAAAAGAATAAAATATTATCAAATACTTATGTAATCATCTGAATTGGCAGCTGTTAATATTTTGTCATATTTTAATCAAATCTTTGAATGATTTTAAAAGATATTTATTTCCCAGATATTGTTCTAGTACGTTTCTACATTTTTACTCCTACAGCCATTACCTGTCCCTGAGGGAAGGGCTGCCGTGAATTTCACTATCATAAATTTGGTATCTTCTGGGCTTTTGTTTTTATCTTGAGGTGTTTTTTGTTTGTTTGTTTTTCTGTTTTGGCAATACTGGGAATTGATTGAACCCAGGGCCTTTACACTGAGCTGTATCCCTGCCCTTTAATTTTTTTTTTTTTTTTTTTCCAGCACCAAGGATCAAATTCAGGACCTTGTGCTTGTGATGCAGGCACAGACACACTGAGCTAATTCCCTGGCCTAAAAATTTTTGATGCAAAGTTTCACCGGGTCACTAAGTTCCCTGGGCTGGGTTTGAACTTGGAATCCTGCTGCCTCAGCCTCTCGGAGAGCTGGGATCACAGGCGTGTGCTGCCATCATGTGCAGTTTAGTTCATTCTTCTGTGTGTATCTAGGAGTAATCTGCTTGGAGCTCTATGAGCTTTGTACCAACACGTTATGTTTTCCCATCAAATTTAGACAGTTTGGGGCCATTTTTAAACACTTTCTCCTTAATCTCCTTGTCATCTCCTTCTAATGCTATATATAAGAGACCACTTATTGTTTCTGAGGCTCTTGTTTTTTGTTTGTTTTATGTGTTTTGGGTGTTTTTTTTTGTTTTTTTTTTTGCGGCAGGGTCTTGCTTAATAGCTCGGGGTGGGCTTGAACTTTTGACAGTCCGTCCTGCCGCAGCCTCCCAGATGCTGAGATTACAGGTGTGCATCACCATACCCAGCTGTTCATTTTTTCTTAAAGCCATTTGTCTCTCTGCTTCATATTTCCTGTTGCTGTATCTTTAAGTTCACTGATCTGCAGAACCTCACCAACTGTTAAGCCCATAGACTTCATTTCACATACGCATTTTTAGTTCTAGAGAAGTCATTTAACTCTTTATTGCTTCATTTTCTCTGTTGAGATTCTTTGCTTGCTCATTAAGTTCACATTTTCCTTGAAATCTCTTTTTTTTTTTTTTTTTTTTTTTTTGGTACCAGGGTTCAAACTCAGGACCTTGTGCTTGCAAGGCAGGCGGAGGCACCACTGAGCTAAATCCCCAGCTGCTTTGAAATCTTCATGAATTTCTAATAACTATTTTCAAGTCTTTATTGGCCAGTTCTATTATCTGAGTCCATTTGTGTCTTCTGCTAGATGATATTTCTGCTGATTATGGGTCACATCTTCTGTTTCTCTGTCTAGTAATTTTTATTGCATGCTGAAAAATATGAATTCTATGTTGTTGAATCTATGTTGTTTGTCTTCCCTAAATGTTTTTTCTTCCATCATGGGGATCAGCTTAATCATTTCAGGTTTTTTTTTTAATTTATTTTTATTTTATTTATTTATTGTTTTGTTTTGTTTGAGACAGGGTCTCACTATGTAGCCCAGGCTGGTCTTGAACTCACAGCGATCCTCCTGCCTCAGCCTCCTGAGTGCTGGGATTACAGGCCTGCACCACCATGCCTGGCCATTTCAGGGTTTTAAAAAGCCTTATTGGGATGAGACTAAGGTAGCATTTACTGTGGGACTAGATCAGGTCTATTTTTGTGACCCTCTTGCCTCAGCCTCCCAGAGTCCTGGGTTACAGCACGTGCCACCATGCTCTGTTTAGGTTAGATCTCCATCTGAGGCATGTTCTCCAGGAATTTCTACTGAATGCGTAGGGTGTTCACTGAAACCTTGGTACTACTCTGTTAGAAATTCACATCTGTTCCAACCCAGCCCTGGGGAATCTCTGATCGTTGCTCAGTTTATAAGATCTCCCCAGGAAATTTCATTTATTTATATAATTTTAAAAACCCTCCATCATTATGCATGAGGAATGGGGATTGGGCGGCAGCAGGGACGACTGCAGAAATCTGGGCAGGAGATGACAGGAAGGCTGGCCTGGACCGGTCATGTGAGTGGTGTCCTGCCAAGGATGTGTAAAGGCTGGCCAGGCATGGTGGCTCACGCCTGCAAGACTAGCTCGCAGGAAGCTGAGGCAGGAGGGTCACTGCGAGGTCAAGGCCAGCCTGGACTACATAGTGAGACCCTGTCTCAAAACATTTTTTAAAAAAAGGATATAAAGGCAGAGCCAGCAGAACTTCCAGTTAGGCAGCATAGGGCAAGGTGGGAAGCAAGACTGATGCCCATGTCCTAGACGTGACATGGGAGGGGATGAACAAAACGCCTCACACTGAAATGGATATGGTTAGCATGTAGGCTGTTGAGTCTGATGTTCAGGTGAGAAATGAGGCTAGACTTTGAGTGTAATCAATGTAGAGATAGTTTTTAAGTCGGGGTGCTCGGCAGGATCCTCTAGGGTCTTAGAATGGAGAAGCGAGGTGGTCAGAACTGAAGCCCTGGGAATTCCAACGCTTAAATGTAAGGTTTTCCTTTTAAGAGATCCAGCAAAAGACTGGCAGGAAGCAACCACTGGGGGAGGGGGAGAACCAGGAGAATGAAGGAAAGCGTCTGAAGGAGGAAAACCAGTGAAGGAGGCACTTGAAGAAAGGAAAGATCTCTGTTCAGTGCTATTGAGTGGGTGCCCGTGCTATACAGCAAAGTAGTTCGTTCTTTTCCACTGCTGTCTAGTATTCCATCATGTGAACAGAGAAGATTCGTTCATCTGCCTCCCTCCATTTTAGTTAGTATTTGCAGCAAACATTCTAGAACCCGTCACCAGTTGGAGCACATGTTGGGTGAGTTTGTCTTTGGATTGTGTCTGGGGAGAGAATTAGGAAATCATTAAGAAAGAGACACAACTTCAGCTTGACAAGATAATACCAGGCTGCTTCTCAAAATGATGCTGCCGGTGTCTGTCCCTAGGAGATGCTGTTTAACACTATCGCTATCAGGGACTCGTGTAGACCTTAGGAGTCTTTCCAGCCTTGAGTGTGACTGTGTGTGTGACTGAGTTCACTTTGCATCTTCCTAAATACTGGGGAGGTTGAGTACTGGGCCCTTTGCATTTTCTTTTACCTGACCTGCGTGTTAATGTCCATTGCCCAGGTTTCTGTAGGGTTTTCCTTTTCTTTTTTACTTACAAGATTTCTTAGTAGAGTTGGGGATTTAGCTCAGTGGTTCTGCTGCCTGCTTTGCAAGCACAAGATCCTGAGTTCAATCCCCAGTTAACCAAGAAAAAGAAAGAAAGAAAAAGAAAGATAGATTTCTTTGTATATTCTAGACGCTAAATCTTGCTTTATTAAGTACATGCAAATCCTTACTCTTAGTGGGGGTGTCTCTGACCGTGTGGGGGGGTACAGGTGTATGTGCTCAGGCCTGATGTCATATAAAAGCTTTTAGTTTGGATCTCATGAAGTCTTTCTACAAGAGCACTACTTGTACTTGTTCTAAGATTTGTGATATTTTTAAAACAATGTCAAGATATTGAAATTTATTGTGTGTGTGGTGTGAGGTAGGGACCAGGTTTATTTTTCTTGTATTGGCAAAGCCAAATGTTCTAACTTCTCCAGCCTGCTCCCACTGCCGGAGGCCACCACCGCGTCACCTCAGGTTCCCATAAAGATGTAAATCTGTTTAAATTATCTTTTCCTGTTCCATTGGTCACATCACCTATTCTTGAATTCATAGGTGTACATTTTATTACTTGATAAAAATTTGATACCTGGTAGAGTAAGGTGGGCACAGGTGAAGGCGAAACAATTTGCTTTTGCTTTGGAGTTATCTCTGTGAACAGCTGCATGTGTAGTTAAGGAAGCACTGGCTAAGCCAGCGATGGTGGTTCATGCCAGCAATCCCAGCGTGCTGGGAAGCTGAGGCAGGAGGATCACGACTTCAAGATCATCTGGGCAATAAGCAATTTAGACCCAATCTAAAAATAAAAAAGGGAAAGGAGTGGAGCTGTAGCTCAGTGCAAAGGCGCTATGTTCATTTCTCAGTAATACACACACATATGCACACGCACGCACACACACACACGCATGCGCGCATGCACACACCCCACTTGCTGAATTTAGAAAAGCTCCATGTGCCACTCACCTGTCCAGGACTCATCTGTGGACTGAGGCGGGGAGAGGTCCCGTGACTTTCCTGTGACCCTCTGGGTACTTTCACTTGTGGCCTTTCCTCCTGCCTCTGCCTCTCATTCTCACCACCAGCTCTCAGGTTGTGATGTCCCAGCTTCCGGGAGGTGGGTGTCCTGCAACTGGGCTGTGATTCCGACTGTGTTGGTTACAGCCAGCCAGACCACAGGGACAGGGCAGGCAGGGCTGGGTTTCCTGTTGCCTCACCAACTCTGAGACCCTGGATTCTAAAAATAAATACACCAGAAACCGCCGTGACCTCCCGGCCTCTGCCTGGGTGCTCTGAGGGCCCTGTCCCCGGCACAGCAGCTGGGGCCCAGGCTGCCCGGCCTCACAGCCTGCTCCTTGGCCCCCTTTCAGGCCATTCCCCGCAGGTCCAGGGTGGCCCCGGTGGAGAGGATGAGCCGGTTCCTGCGGCACTTCACGGTCGTTGGGGACGACTTCCACTCCTGGAACATCAACTACAAGAAATGGGAGAACGAGGAGGAGGACGAGGAGGAGGAGGAGGAGGAGGAGGAGCGGCCGCAGCAGCAGCCACCACCACCCGCACCCGCCTTGGGTGAGGAGGGCAGGGACGCTGAGGCTGCCTCTGTCCCCGCGCCGAGGCCCCCTGCAGACTTCAGGGCCAAGCTGAGGAAGCTTTTCCGCTCGCACCGCTTCCAGGTAGTGGGGCGAGGCCAGGGCCCGGCTGGGGCGGGGAGGGCCCTCTGGGGAGGTCGCCACGCTGCACGGTGTCACCCTTCACTGCCACTTTCACAGCAGAATGGTTAGTGAGCACCGCTGCGTGCCAGGCGCCTGAGCAGCTAGGGGTCACAGGAGGCCCCTGTCGTCAGGGAGATAGAGGGACATGGGGGCTTCAAAGAAGAGCAGAGAGGACTGAGCTTGGCAGGGTCGGTGTCTGTCCTGACATTTTGAAGGACATTCTGATTGCGGAGGACAAAGGACACGCACGCACGAAGACTACCCTGGGCACGTGGGTGTCCGGAGCACAGGGAGGCATTTTGGGGCCACTGCTGTGGCCTCCTCCAAGACCCATGTCCCCATAGGAAGGAGAGAGGCAGCCCATCCCTTCCTTCCATCCCTGCCTTTATTCTGGGGTAAAACAGAGAAATTATTTTGGTCTCTTTTTTTCTTGCTCTCCCATGGCTTAAAGGAAGCAAGCCAACACCCCAGAGCTCCTTGCAGCCCTGGATGTCCCTCTATGGCTGTGACAGGAAAGGAAATGTGGTATTAACTTGTTGGGGTTGAAATCCCAAACCCTTAATTTCAGGAACAGAAGGAAGGAGGCGGCTCCCTTCCAGCTGCAAGGGGAGCCCTGAGCCGCCCCCTTCCAGATGCAGCTCCTGAGCTCTGGGGGGGGGAGGCCGAGGCCCCCAGAGACATTCCCACTGGGAAAAGACTGACTGTCCTGAAATAAAGAATTCATCCATAGGTGCACCTACTGTGTGCAGCAGACCTGTCCCTGCCCTCACTGGGGAGGATCTGGGTCTGCAGAAAAGCAGGAATCACAGGGGCTTTCACCCACACAAATAGAAGTTACAAATAGAAGTCCCCTGCCAGGAACACAGAGGCCTCTGGGAGCTTGGGGTCAGGGACCTGTAAAAAGCCTGGGACTTGGAGGAGGTGACCTGTCTGTTGCCTGACACCCGAAGGCTGAGCAGCAGAGTCCTGTGGGTCTCCAGACTTCTTGGTTTTCTTTTGGTTTTGTTTTCTTGTGTGGTGCTGTGATGGAACCCAGGGCCTGGCCCAAACTGGGCAAGCCCCACCCAAGACCCCGAGCAGTGCCCCAGCCACACCCTCTGGATGCATCGGGAACCTTCCAGGCAGAGGGGCTGGGTTTGCCCAGGGCCAGGCTGGGACAGGGCTGCTGCCTTGGAGGAACAGAGAAGGGCACTGGCTCTGTAGTGAGGGGAGCGACTGCTCGGATGGAGGGCGGCAAGGTGGCGCCTAGTGGCCTAGGGCTGCCGTCCGGGGCTCTGTGGGGGGCATGGTCAGATTGGTAGGGGGCAGGATAGGAGAAGGGGGGCTGATTGCAGTGGGGATGGGGTACAAGGATTTACTCTCTGTTAGGAAAAGCTGTACAAGAAGACTAGGAGGACTGCGAGTTCAAACCCAGTCAGGGCAATTTAGGGACTTGGCAAGGATCTGTCTCAAATAAAAAATTTAAAAAGGGCTGGGGATGCAGCTTGGTGTGAAGGCCCTGGGTTAATCCCCAGTTCCAAACTCACAGTCCTGGAATCCCATCCTTGGGAATTTGAAGCGGCCAGGGTAGCATGATACGGAGTTACGGTGTCACTGCACAGAGAATCGGAAGCCATGATGCACAGGACCGAGGAGGACCTGGAGCTCTGCTCTTACCTGTACCCCTCCTGCCAGGCCTGTGCTGCAGCTCCCACTGCATGGAGGCTCCCAGCCCTAACGGGTGCCAGGTGTGGCTGACAGGACCTGGATGGCTGCCTGAAGAGAGAGGTTGGGGGTTATCAGCCGCTCTGAATTCCCTGTCTTTTGTGTTCTCTGATGACTCCGCTGCTCCCCTCAGACACGGTGCAGCCCAGTGAGTGGCAGATTCGGCCCTTAGGGCTGGGATCTGGGCGTTGCAGATGAGTGGTCTTGAGTTCTCATTTTTATTTTTATGAATTGAGGTGCAATTCACATAAAACTAATCACTTGAAAGTGAATAGTCCTGGCATTTTGGATGTTCACAGTGTTGTATAACTCACCATTATCTAGTTCCAGAACATTCTCATCATGCCCAAAAGAGATGCTGTTACCCACCCCCCTTCCTCCGGCATCCCTGGGAACATCCATCTGCATTATGTCTCTTTGGAATGCCTGTTCTGGACGTTTTAATCTTTTATGTCACTGTGGTGTTTGCAAGGCTCTTACCAGCGTCACCCCCACATAGCAGCAAGTATCAGTGCATCAGGCCTTGTTATGGCTAAAACACTGGTCTGTTCTTCACATCACCATGACTTGCTTGCTTGTTTGTTTTGGTTTTTTTTCAAGTCAGGGTCTCACTATGTAGTTGAGACTGACCTGGAACTCACTATGTAGCCCAGGCTGGTCTTGAACTCACAGCGATCCTCCTGCCTCAGCCTCCCGAGTGCTGGGATTATAGGCATGTGCCACCACGCCCGGCATGACTTGTGTTTAGACTATGTGAGCTCTCAGATCCTTTGGGCTCTAAAATAAAACCAAGGATTAAAAAAAAAAAAAAAAAAAAAAAACACCATCACCAGAAGCTTGAATCTTTATTAAACTACTTCATTTGGATATTGTGTGGAAACTGAGCAATTTGCCACGTCATCAAAACACATTAGCAGGGTCGGGGATTTAGCTCAGTGGCACCGCGCCTGCTTCCCAAATGCACGTTCCTGAGTTCAATCTCCAGTACCCAAAACAAAACGTTATCAGACATTTTACTGTAATTATTAACTACAGGTTAAAATGGCCCAGAAGCTTAACAGTCCATTCTTGTGTAGGCCTCAGCTTGTTTAATTTCAACCAGGAAGTCCCAGTTTAACAGTAGATTTGTTTTTCAGAGGTCAAAATCCCACTGATCTGGCCAGGCCTGGTAGTGCACGCCTATAATCCCAGCACCCTGGGAGGCCCAGGTAGGAGGATCACTCATTCAAGGCCAGCCCAGGCAGTTTTCAGGGATTAAGTGAAACTTTTGTCTCAAAATAAAAAATGGCTGGGGATGCAGCTCTATGTGAAGGCTCTGGGTTCAATCCTTATTACCCACTCCCTAGAATAAAAAGAAAACTGCACTGATCTGAGGGGCGAGGCCTGGCACTGGTCCCTCGGGGCTCCTCCTCCCACTTCCATTGCTGCCGCAGTCTCCCCTAATGCTGTCACCTTCAACTCTGACATCAAGGCCTTTAGCAGCGTCATCCCCACCTCTCTCGCCTGAATGTCCCTGCTGCTGTAGTGAGTCCACAGCCTGCGCTCTCTGGTCCCCACCTGCCCTCACCCACCAGCCCGTGCCAAAGCCCTTGAGATTCTGTCCCACTCAAGTCTTCCTAGGCCCAGGAAGCACCAAGTGAGCAGAGCTGGGGCAAGCGCTGGGTGAGGCTGCGTGCTGGTACAGTGACATTACTGTCACCCCTTACCTGAAGAGCAGGTCAGGTGGTCCCTGGAGGTCCTTGCAGAACTCGGAGCCCTGGGGCAGGGATGTTTTCAGTGACTGACTGAGCATCTATTCTGTGCATGCCTGGGCTCTAGCCATCCCCAGAAGTAGAAAAACACAAACTTTCTTAACATTTTTTCCACCTAGGAAGTGGCATTCAGTTTGAGATAGTGCATTTAAGAAACAGGGATTGGGGAAGCAAAGACCAGGGGTGGCCAGGGGGCTGGAAGTGAGCTGCAGACAGGCTCCAGGGGCCGGGGGGCTGCTGCCCTTGGCGCCCATCCCCTCCACCCAGGGTATTTCCAGGTCTCATAGTTTTCCGCTGCTCCCTGTGACCACAGGTCGTCATCATCTGCCTGGTGGTTCTGGATGCCCTGCTGGTGCTGGCCGAGCTCATCCTGGACCTGAAGATAATCGAGCCTGACAAGAACAAGTATGCAGCCCAGGTAGTGTCACCGTCACTGTGGCTCCTCTGCACTTCGGGGCAGAGTGGAGCAGGGGAGGTGCTGGGCTGTTCGGTGTCGTTTGCTTCCTGTCTTCTGATATCTGGGCAGTCCCTACACTGGAGCCCTGGGTGACCACCGAATGGGTTACTGACCACACTGGACCCTGTTGTCACCCAAGGGGCGATGTTGCAGCGGGGGCCCAACCTTAGCATCTTCCCCTGTGCTTTAGGTGGAGATGTCAGGACTCGAACTCAGGGCCTGTGCTCTACCACTAAGCAACATCCCCGAGCTCCATGTGCTTTTAAGGAAAAAAGGGAATTCTGTGCACATTCCTGTTTTCAAGTGGTAAAAGGGCAGAAGGAAACATCAAAGTTCCCCAGCCCTCCTCTCTCACTGTTCCTTAATAGAATTTGTGATGCTGCCTTTTCCCCGCCAAGTTTGTATCATGAGAAATGCAGATGTACCTTTGGCCGCATTAGCTTTATTGCCATACGTCCCCACAGAGACACGTGCGTCTGTCAGCTGCGTTGTGACTTCACCCCTAGACACGTCCGTGTGTCTAAGAATAGGCCTCTCCCGCAGGACCAGGCTGGCACCATCAGGCCTAAGTCAGTGTCGGCAGCACAGTCCCTCCCTCTTCCCGAGAATGTCTTGTGAGGTGCTTCTGTTTGCTGATCCCCACCCTCTTTCCCTCCTCACGACTCTGACTTTTTAGTCCCTCCGGCTGCCCTGCAGGATGTCTTGCGTTCTGGATTTGCACTGTGTTCTTCATGTGCACCCTCTGGGACATCAGGCCAGGGCCCCCTTAGTGACAGTCATCTACTTAGGTGGTGGGGTGCGCCATGGTCCAGGGCACTTGTCCCTCTGCAGTTATAAATAGCTTTCCTGAGACACTTCATTCCATGCAAATTTCCTTCCCAGTGGGCATTCAGGTCCCTGCCTGAGTCAGGAATTCACCGGGGATGCAGAATGATTTTCTAATTCTATCTTTGCTTCCACCTTTAGAGACTGCTGTTCTCCCACAAAGACGAGCCTCCTTCCCCTGGTGTGTGCCTGCCTCACTGTGGGCTTTTTATTCCCTGTGTATAACTGTATTAGTCATTCTTCAGACATTCCAATTGGCCCCACCTTGGTCACTGTGAGCCTCTTCAAACTGTGTCCTTTCGCCCTGAGTCTAAAGGCATTTCCCTGCTTTCTGGCACAAGAGAAGAACGAGGGACAAGAAAGGGGCTGGGGTCAAGAACGCACCCTTCTAGGTCGTAGTAACCCCAGTGACCACCTCCAGCCAGGCCCCACCCCCAACAGCACATTCAGACCCTGAGCTTCTCCATGGAGGGGTCCACTGATGAGTAGTGTCCATGATCCAACCCACACCACACACACGAGACTCTGGGGGTCAGGCTGGAGCGAAACCCTAACATTCAGGGCACAGCTGTATGTACTGATTGAACCTGGCTAGTGGCAGTCGCAGCTGAATTCCCAGCATGGAGAACAGGGTCTGGCTTGGTGGTTCCGCACGTGTCATGCCAAGGAAGTCTTCCCCTGGCACCAGAGCAGGGGTCCTGGAGGCCGGTCCGCATGGCCTGCCCCAGCCTGCGACCGGAGGCCCAATCTCTTCTGACTGTGGCTCCTTGTCCCCTTCAGGTGTTCCACTACATGAGCCTCGCCATCTTGGCCTTCTTTATGATGGAGATTTTCTTTAAGATATTTGTCTTCCGCCTGGAGTTCTTTCATCACAAGTTTGAAATCCTGGACACAGTGGTCGTGGTGGTCTCGTTCGTCCTCGACATTGTTCTCCTGTTCCAGGAGCACGAATTTGAGGCTCTTGGCCTGTTGATCCTGCTCCGGCTGTGGCGGGTTGCCCGGATCATCAATGGTACATGAGTCTCCTGGGCTGTGGAGGGGACAGGAGAGCAGGTGGGGCCGGGCATGGTGCTGGGCCAGCTGTTAAGACGAGGGCATCCGGGCTCAAGCCTGTGGATTCCACCATGGCCACTGCCACCACCTCCCAGGAGTCTGGAGAAAAGGGAGGTGGTGATATCTGGTGCCCAACTGCTGCCTCTGTGGCCATGGATGGACAGGGCAAGTGCCATGAAAACTACCTTTCTTCTTCAGGCCTTATTTTTATGATTATCAAAAGATAGAGAAGCAAGGCGTCACTTGGGGTTTTCTCAGAGGTTCTTTTTTGTCCTCACTGTTAGGGAGTTAAACCCAGGGCCTTTGTGCTAAACTACACCCTCAGCCCTTCGTTTATTCTGAGACAGGGTCTCACCAAGTCACTGAGCTGCCCAGGCTGAGCTCAAATTTGTGATCCTCCTGCCTCAGCCTCTGAAAGTGCTCAGAGACACGCATGTGCTACCACACTAGATGACCATTTTTAGTATTTCCCAAGCGGATTCTACTAAACCCAGACCACCTGGGGAGGGCACCCGCCAGAGGGACCCAGGAAGCTGAGCAGTGCTGTACGCCACATTCCTCCCTCAGAGAAAGTCACGGGGCTTGGCAGCATGAGGCAGTCAGTTTTCTAAATTTTTGAACATTTTGGTGCTGTGGGGGGAAAATAACGCCTCTAAACACGCCTGGATTCTGGCAAAGGCACGTGGGAAGTGGTGTTTCAGGGGAAACCCGTTCATCATCCACCCTGGGCCTGAGGCCTGCAGTTCAGAGGCTCTGCACGTCTGCAGATGTGACATGGCCGGTGAGCCAGCTGCTCAGCCAGCAGTGACCTGGGTGTCGCTAGTGTACATGGTCTGCTGCAGAGGGAGGGCGGGCCTGGCAATGTGATTGCTGCAGCACCCCTGGAGGGCTCAGGGCCCCCCAGATGAGGGTTCACTGGGGAGGGGTGGGCCAGGGTGACACAGCTGCTCCCCTGGGTGGCCGAGTGATAAAGCCACTGAAGAACTTTGCTTTGGACTCTGCCAGGGAGTCGGAAGCTTTCAGGTACCAGTGGGGAGGTTTCTGCGAGTGAGCGACAGCTGCCAGGCTGGTGCTCATGCAGCATTTGTGCCCCAGTTCCTGTCCCCAGCAGGCTGTCGGCAGAGCCTAATGTTCATTGTGACTGTGAGGGTTTTTCAGGCCATGTGGGCCAAAGGCACCCGTTGGGTAGCTGGTTACTGAGCAGTGTAGAAATGAAATACCTGTCCTTCTGGCCCCACTCGGTGACGACTGTCACTGCTCTTCCTAATTCTTTGTGCATAAGAATACACCGTACATCTTTGGTTTTTCCCAGGTGGTTATAGTAGAAACCACTATTTCTGATGCCTTCAATTAACTTCCAGGGATAATTATCTCAGTGAAGACCCGTTCAGAACGGCAACTGTCGAGGTTAAAGCAGATGAATATTCAGTTGGCCACCAAGATCCAACACCTTGAGTTCAGCTGCACTGAGAAGGTAAGATCCTGAGGATGTCCTGCTTGCCGTCCTGTCCACCTGAGCGTGGGGCTTCACATGCCCATGTAGTACCTGGCACCCTTTTGCCGGACCAAGTGGTCCCTGTCCCTTCACACTTAACCCACCTCCCAGAGCCATGCCCACTGCCCAAACTATGCCAGGTGCCCCTCCTCTGGGCACCTCTTGTCCCGCTGTGCTTGGGGATCCCTGTATGATGGAGCAGTCTGCTCAGCAGCCTGAAGACCATGGGACAGCAGCTCTCATTCATGTGTCCCTGCGCCTGCGCTCCTCTAATGACTGTCATATCCCTGCTGAGGTCCAGGTCAGTTCTGATATTTGCTTTTACAATAGGAACAAGAAATTGAAAGACTCAACAAGCTGCTGCGACAGCACGGCCTGCTCGGTGAGGTGAACTAGGCGTCCGCCAGCTCCACTGGAGAAGACCCAGCCTCCCAGGCCCCAGGGTGAGATGGTCCCACGCCTCCGCTCACTGGCCCCGTGGGGGTTCCGAGGACGGCTGTTCTGTCTGGGTCTGACAGAAAGCTGCCTGTGCCCTTACCCTGCGCTACATGACAGACGTACCAACTAGTTTCTCGTAGCAGACACTTTACACTTGATGAAAATGAACACACCTGGACAATGACTAGTTGTATATAAAATTTAATCTCGTCAAATGTACAGCTTTGAAATTTCACACGCCTCTGGTGGGGGCAGCATCCTTTTTTGCATGAGCATTTGGAGGAGAGGAAAGCAGCAGGCTTGGCTGCCCCCCCCAGCAGTCCCTCCTCGCTCCCAACGCTCCAGGGTCCCCGCACCCAGCCTGGGATCCAGCTGCCTCAGCAGCTTCTCCCCAGCTCCACCTACTTCTGCCACCTGGCAGTGTTTTTCTCGCTTACTGTACAATTAGCGTGTAAGACACCGCGCTCCTTCCCACTACAAGCTTCCCTCAGTGGCGTCCCATGCCAGCCCACCATGTGGAGAGTCGGCGAGAGGCGGAGTTCGGCCTGGAAGTGCCATTTAGTCCCAAGCTGGCCCTGTAATTAATGTGATCTTTGGGAGAAGAGCCCCTCGTGAGGTTTTGTACGCTTCTCAAACAATTTTATACAGTATTTTGCTATTTTTGTACTTATTTCAACGAGACTTGAAAGAAAACAACTCTGCACAATGAACATTTTTAAAATAACTCACATTAAAGCGGGGATGAATAAACCAATACACTCCCTGCACACACTGTCAGTGTGTTCCCCACAGTCCCCAGGACAACTCGCTCTCCACCTAGGACCTTCCTGCTGACTGCTGTGTGGGACCAGCTCAAAATGTGCAGCAAGCAGAGCAATGCCTGGGAGGGAGAAGTTCTGTCGGGAGGGAGAAAAGGGCAGTGTGTGGGTTTAGGGGCAACCCCGGGGTGCAGAGGGGTGCGACCAAGTGGTCCCACAGGTACAGACCTTCACAGCGGGCCTTCATGACCACTCCCGTCACACAAACGGGAAGAAGAAGTCAAAGGGCAGCCTGGCGTTGACGGTGGGCCGAGCCCGGAAGCCGGCTGCTGCAGGTGCAGACACATCCACAAAAGTCACCGTAGTGGAGACGACAATCGTCCTTTCACTTCCTGTGTAGGTCTGTAGTAAAAGTCACAGCTGCACGCCTGCCCTCCAGTGTGTTAGTGGGGGGACGACGTGGGGATGCTGCCTTCCCCTCACTGGGCTGCCGCGTGGGAGCAGCGCTCTCCGGCGTCCTGACCGCACCAGGCTCAGCCGAGACTCAAAGATCAACTCTGATCAAGAACGCTGATGCCAATCAAACCCCGGCCAGTGGGAGCTTTTCTAAGTATAAGAATGTCTGCAAAACTGTTTTAAGGTTCCAGTTTATCTTCTTTATCAGGTTAATAAATTTCACCTGTCTTACCTGAGTTTTGTTTAGACTTGTCTTAACCTCTAGCTTTTGGGTTTTTGTTTTTGGTATTGTGGATGGAACCCAGGGTCTTGCTCTCACTGAGCTCCAGCCCCAACCTACGCCTTTTTAATTTTTATTTCTGTAGAACTGGGGATTGAACCAGGGCCTCACACATGTCACCCAGCCTCTACCGTCACGCTCCAGCCAGACCTACCTTGGGAAAGGTGGAGGAAAGGAGATTCGCCGTGACATTTACTATTCTGGCCTGGGGGTTCAGTAGGGATCCGTACTTGGTCCACTTCACTTCTATGACCAAAGCCACTGGGAGCTGGCAAGAATCCTGCAAAACAAAATGCCAGTCATCAATCTGAGTATTATACAACCTCGAGTCAAACTTAATCTGCAGTTCAGAGTTTTAATTATAAAATGTTCCACATATTACAGAATGTTCCAAAAGAGGATGAATAGACTCCAAAAGTTCAGATCGAAACAACTTTGACAAAGCACATATTAAAGTCCTCACTGCTCCAAAAATACTGTGCACCTAGCGTGATTTTTCCATCTCTTCTGATTTCCAGAGGCCAGAGTCACCTGTGAGTGGTGGCTATCCCACTCTCCAACTGTGGGACCTTAAGGGCTCCGACTTCATCTACCTGTCTGCACCTGCCTCAGAAGAGAGGCCAGGGTGTGTGTGTGGAGAATGGAAATTAAATTAAACCTGACTGCATTTCTCCTTAAAATGCTCTGAGAGGAGATCCAAACATTCTTTCCATTTGTCTAATTTCATCAACTGGCGACTAAGATGTGACATTTGGGCATCTGGGCAGTGCCTATATGTTGAGCACCGAGAATTCAGTCTGAACATCTCGTGCCCCAGGACCTTTGCTTGTTCAGCCCCAACGACAGCATGGGGACCTGGGCTTTCCAGACTCTTATCCTGCCTCAGTGTCTTTAGTTGGAAAAAGAGAACTCCAGAAGCCGTAGTGGGGATGCCACTGATGAGGGCACTTTCCTGTGGGTCTGAAATTTTTCCATAATAAAAGTTTTCCACTAAATAGTGCTTTCAGGGCATGAATAGCTAGCAGGCCCACTAATACCTGGTGCCTGCCAAAAAGTACCAATGGATTGCCTGGCTTGGAACTGCCTTTGAAAATCTGCAGGTTGCACAGTCCTTGCCAATACCCCAATACCAGGAAAAGCTGCCATGCAGCTGCTGTGGCCGTGCTCCCCACCACCTGCACCTGGGTTTGACGCATGGGTGGCACAAGCCCGCTCCAGGCCCACTGAGTTCCGTGGGCCAGCACAGCCCCAAGCCTGTCCCCCTCCCAGGGAGCAGTCACAACTCTGGTGACTTCACCCAGAGCCAAGAAGCCAGGAGCAAGTTGCTTGGCCCCCTGGGGGCAGAGCTGAGCCAAGGCTGAGGGCTGAGCGACAGAGACCCAGTCTCAGGTCTTCCCTGGGGACTCAGCAGGGAGGGCCGCCGGCTTCTGAGCATCCGCACCTCATCATGCCCTGCTACAAATTCGCCTGGAGAACACGTGACAAGACAGCTGGGCAATTAGGGCATAAGACAGAGCGTGCGCCGCAGTGACAGGACGGCCCACACTTTCAAGACAAAAGAACAGGTGGGCGAGGAGGCACATGTGAGCGGGCACCTATTTCTAGGATGTCGACTTCCATTAAACTTGCTGGGGAACTTTAGCATTAAAAGCGCTTGCAAGTGGGCTGCCCAGGTAGAGCAGGGAGAGTGGGTGGGCAGCAGTATGGACAGGGAGGCATCCAGCTCCTCTAGGATGGCCTTGTGCTGTCTCCAGCGGGCTTGTGGGGCACTGATGACAACAGTGCAGATTAAGCACCCCTTGTCTGAAACGCTGGGGAGCAGTAGTATTCAGGATTTCTCCAGTTTGGGGATATTTGCATATGTATAACGAGTGGGACTAACTTAAGTCCACACATGAAATTTGTTTCATTTACACTTCTCCCCAGCCAGAGTGTGGAACTTTCCATTCACAGGACTCAAAAAGTTCCAGATTCTGGAGCATTTCAGAGTTGAGGAATGAGGATTTCCAACCTATAGGAACAGGATGGTGCTCGGTAGCAGTTCCATGTCATGGAGGGACTGCCTACTGCTGCCCTGCCAACAGCCACGGGCATGGCCACATTACCTCCACCAACCCACTCAACAACCGCTGAGGTGGGAGCTATCATTCCCATTTCACAGATGAGGAGACAGGCTCAAACGCATAAAGACGCTGGCCAGAGGTGGGCGAGGGAGCCCTGCCTGCATGCCAAGCTCCTCAGGAGGCTGAGCCTACCTGCTAACAGTGGACAAAATCAATACTCAGGACTCAGGCCACTCTGATCTATAGCAAACCCTGAGCCCACCCAGAGCCACCCCACTTCCTTCACAGATTCCCCAGCTGCCTATTATTATCCCAAAGGCAGAGGAGACCACGAGCACCTGGCCTTCAGCTTCTCTCCTTTTACCTTGATGGGTGAGTGGGTGATGAAGTGGACAGGGACCCAGTCCAGCACATCCTGTGCCCTGGAGTTTCCGAACGAGGCCACAAAATCCGGGAAGCCCTGACCCTTCAGCAGGTCCTTCATCTTCTGTGCCACAAGCTGGCACGGGATGGCGGGGCTCAGCCTTCGTGGGGAGAAAAGAAATTGTGTCAACAATTTTTTTTCTCTGTTTCTGGTGATACTGGGGATTGAATTCAAGGAGTGCCAGGCTACATCAGCAGCCATTTATTTTTTGATTTTTGAGACAAAGCCTCCAGGAGTTGCCCAGGCTGGCCTTGAATTCATGATCCTCCTCTGTCAGCCTCCTGAGGATCTGGGGATACAGGCAGGTGCTACCATGCCCAGCTTACCATCAGTTTTTACAGGCCTCAATGATAACACATGCCTCTCCAGTTTCATTTTCTCCCTCTCCAGAAGGGGAATCATTTAACAGATGCTAAAGTATCCCTTAACTGAATCCTGGCCATAGAGGAAATCCAAAATAGTATTTCCCAAACTGAGTTCCACAGCAGCCCTTTCTGTATGAGAAGAACCACGACCAAAACTTGGAAAAGACATTCCATGTCCCTGTCTCTCCTGAAGCACACTGGTATATTAAAGGTACTAAGAAGTCCTTGAGGAAGAAATCACGGTTTTCACTGTCATTCGGTGTTTCCCAGACATACTGCAGTACGGCCCTGTGCCTCAGGACATGTTGTGGGAATGTATTCCATGCAGCCCCTCTAAGAAATGCTCCTCTAAAGAGATCAGCTGATAATACAAATGGTGAATACTGGTCTAACAAAACAATGCCATGATTATCCAGGGGAGATGTGCAAAGTACACGGGTGGTGGAGTGAAGGAGGGTGAAGGGCAAAGATCCAAGTATTTGTCTTCCAGACTGGGGACACAATAAAAACTCCTAAAAACAGCTGGGTGTAGAGGTGCACATCTGTAATCCCAGGCCTCTGTAAGGCCAAGGCAGGAGGATGGCACGTTCAGGCTCAGCCTGGGCAACTTAAGTGATTTAGAGACTATGTCAATAAATGAGAGACAAGACAGATAAATAGAGATAGCCTGCCAGCCACGCCTGGGGATGTAGCTCTGTGTAAAGGCCTTGGGTTCAAACACTAATACAAAAAAAAAAAAAAAAAAAAA